GCTACACAATGGGCTATCTGTGCTCTGCCCACCATGGCTATCGAAACCCGGATTCTAGCGTTGTAAGTCCGCAGGCATACCGCTGTGCCACTGGGGGGGGGGGCAAAGGTCTCGTAGTTAATTTACTGTAATCCTGCCTAAAGAAATTTAAAATACAGCGGCTAATGCGGTTCCCTCTTGTTTAACTTTAAACAATTTAGTTATTGTCGTTATGCAAAACCATTATCATCCCGACCAAGAACCCCACCTGGTGGATCCAAAAAACAAAGTAACTTGTTTTCCTTCAGGTTTTTGTTGCCTATTTTGTTCTCTTTTGAGGTACCCCACTGTGTTACGAATTATGAAAACTTTCTTACTTTTATTGAGGTTAAATTATTTTTCATAAGAAAAAATACTTTGAAAAAAAACAACAACACATATTTAAATACTGTCGTAGTTACTTGTCACTGAAGTAATTTTTTCACGATGTATTTCTTCGGCTTGGATTTGAATCCAAGACCTTTTGCATATCAGGCGTGTGTTCTACCTACTGAGATAAAAGACTAATCCATCAACGCTTACTAGTTAGGCACTTTTTAACTACTCAAACTACTATACTACATAGTGTGATGGTTGTGTACCTAGTATATGAAAAAAAATTCTTTTTCTAATTCGTTTTAATATTTTCATTAAATGTTCATTAAAATGCTGTAAGTACTTTTTTGTACGGGTTTGGTATTCATTTCGTATGTTGGTTATACTTGAGTAGGGAATTATGTTTCATGGGTTCGGTAGTTACTGTGTCTGATAGTTTACGGAAGTGGTTAATTGTGGTCCATGGGTTTGGTCGTTACTTTGTCTGCTGGTTTACGGAAGTTGTTAATTGTGTTTCATGGGTTTGGTAGTTACTGTGTCTGATAGTTTACGGAAGTGGTTAATTGTGGTCCATGGGTTCGGTCGTTACTTTGTCTGCTGGTTTACAGAAGTTGTTAATTGTGTTTCATGGGTTCGGTTAGTACTTTGTATATTGGTTTACGGAAGTTGTTAATTGTGTTTTATGGGTTCGTTAATTACTTTGTCTGCTGGTTTACGGAAGTGGTTAATTGTATTCCATGGGTTCGGTCGTTAGTTTGTTTGCTGGTTTACGGAAGTAATTAACTGTGTTTCATGGGTCCGGTAGTTACTTAGTTTACTGGTTTGCAGAAATGGTTAATTGTGTTTAATCGGTTCGGTAGTTACTTAATCTACTGATCTACGGAAATGGTTAATTGTGTTTCATCGGTTCGGTAGTTACTTAATCTACTGATCTACGGAAATGGTTAATTGTGTTTCATCGGTTCGGTAGTTACTTAATCTACTGATCTACAGAAATGGTTAATTGTGTTTCATCGTTTCGGTAGTTACTTAATCTACTGATCTACGGAAATGGTTAATTGTGTTTCATGGGTTCAATATATAGTTTGTCTACTAACAAAATGTACAGAGCACAAAATGCTTCATGGTCTTTCAGGTTACTTTGCCTACTGATTTACGCAAATTGTTAATAGTGTTCCATGAATTTATTGAATTGTATACAAGAATGTAGAATGAGGCTTCTTGGTATAAAAGAGTGTAGAATGAAGTTTCTTTGTTTTGATAATTACTTTGTCGCATGGTATACCAGAGTGTAGAATGAAGTTTCATTCATTTAGAAGCTACTTTGTCGCATGGTATACCAGAGTGTAGAATGAAGGTTCATTCATTTAGAAGCTACTTTGTCGCATGATATACCAGAGTGTAGAATGAAGGTTCATTCATTTAGAAGCTACTTTGTCGCATGGTATATCAGAGTGTAGAATGAAGGTTCATTCATTTAGAAGCTACTTTGTCGCATGGTATATCAGAGTGTAGAATGAAGGTTCATTCATTTAGAAGCTACTTTGTCGCATGGTATATCAGAGTGTAGAATGAAGGTTCATTCATTTAGAAGCTACTTTGTAGCTTGATATATCAGAGCGTAAAATGAAGTTTCATTCATTTAGAAGCTACTTTGTCGCATGGTATATCAGAGTGTAGAATGAAGGTTCATTCATTTAGAAGCTACTTTGTAGCTTGATATATCAGAGCGTAAAATGAAGTTTCATTCATTTAGAAGCTACTTTGTAGCTTGATATATCAGAGTGTAGAATGAAGGTTCATTCATTTGGAAGCTACTTTGTAGTTTGATATATCAGAGTGTAGAATGAAGGTTCATTCATTTAGAAGCTACTCTGTCGCATGGTATACCAGAGTGTAGAATAAAGGTTCATTCATTTAGAAGCTACTTTGTAGCTTGATATATCAGAGTGTAGAATGAAGGTTCATTCATTTGGAAGCTAATTTATCTGCTACCGTGACAAATGAATGTTTCATGACTTAGATAACTACTTTTTTATACTGGTAAACCAGAGTAGGGAATAATGATTCATGGGTTTGGTAATGAATCTGTCTTCGGGTAAGAAGGAATGAAAAGGAAAAATCAGTTTAGCGAGAGATGAATTAAGATACGATTTGTAACATGTGATACGAGTTTCTTATATCACCAGTTCTCCACGACCACAAAAATCATAACGTATTAATGTTAAGTTTGTTTTTTGTTTTTGTTTTTAATTATGCACAAAACTACACAAGGGCTATCTGTGCTCTGCCCACCACGGGTATCGAAACCCGGTTTCTAGCGTTGTAAGTCCGCAGACATACCGCTGTGCCACTGGGGGCTTTTAATGTTAAGAGACTGTGACTTGTACGAGTATATAATGTGCAAAAAATTTGGATCCGAAGAGTTACCAGAAACGAGTTGGCTAATTATACTGGAGAGAGAGAGAGAGTAAATGGGAATGGCGTTTCGAATGTATTTCCATATCGTTAAAAACGTGTTAAACAGGAAATGGTTTAAAGAAACGGCAGCAACAGCACATCTTTTTCTTTTGTTGAATAAACTACCTGCAAATCTTCCAGAAACTTTTCTGTTCAGTGCGATTTATTTGTTTTTCCATTTACAGATTTTCTTTCTAACGACTTAATAAGTTCTTTGAACAAAAGTGTTTCTGACTTAAACTGTATCAGAGCATGCAGAATCTGCGACTTTCACTGTAAGTACTTTGTAAGTCTTTTCTGCAAGTTTACGGTGACGCCTGAACCAGTGGGGTGATAACCTGGTTATACAGTCCCATTGCTACTGACTAACCTACTGTACATCTATATATATATATATATATATATATATATAT